AAAAACTTAAGGTGATAAATTTGATTAACCTTTTATTTTTTTCTACTGTAACATGTTGATTTAATGTCAATGAAGCAATAACTTTGAAATAAATAACAAAAAACAAAAAATGATTGTAAAGGAGAAATTATTTTCAGCAACAAAATGGATTTAAAATTACCTAGAAAGGGAAAAGATTATAAAATTGAGTATTGAGTTGGCCAATCCCACCTAAAATTTGTTGACTAAGTCTGTCTGCCAGTGTTACCCTTTTTTTTTCTTCTTTTTTTTTTTTTTTTTATCTTTTTGAAAATTTGTTTTTATTTTCATTGAAAATACATGTTTTTTTTTCTTTTTTATTGATCTTGTTCAAAATATAAAAGTAAAACATATACAAATTGTGCCCAAGGGTTTATGTTTAAAATGTTGAAGATTAATTTATATTGTATACTAGCAAATATAACTGGACAACCAACTAAATTGGGATTGCACACATTCCCAACTGGAAAGATGATCTGTTCATTTGCATATTTTTCCCATGGACCTATCTACTTGTACCTCGTAAATAAAACTTTCCAATAAATCTTTTAATAAAAAAAAAAATTCTTCTCTGGAGAAGAGAGAGAGAAAAGAAAAAAAAGTTAAATACATAATATAAAAAGAAACAGATTTTTTTTAATGCTCTCTGGATTTTGTACTTAGCCATACTGACACTGGAGCAGATTGATTAACCATGATGACATTTTGCTCCCAATAAATTTGTATTAGAAAATAAAAGGCCCATTAAACATAACTGTCTTTAAAAAAAATAATTATCAATTGCAAATATAAAATAGCACCATTTAAATTCTGTGGGAAAAATTTGACAAACTCTTTTGTGTGTGCCACACTACCTGGCCCCCTTGACAGTAAAAACAGGCTGGAGAATGACCGCAAGAGAAAAAAAAAAAGGTGGGAAGACAAAGATGTGAAGGAACAGGTGACTGATATCTTCAATAAGGAATGAAAGAAGAAAAAAAAATACCAGATGTGGAGTTACAGTAGTTGTGATAAGAAGTAGACAAGATGTTTTTATAAGGTTAGATTTTCCTAACCTTGCACTGAGACACACTCTCTTTCTTCAAAAAGAGAAGAGAAATGCCAATTTCTTGTGTATTCTAACCCCAAATTTCCATCACTGATGCATGAGGTCCAAAACAAGAGTTGCAAACTTGATTTGAATCTAGTCTGGACAAAACCAGTAAACTGGATTTTCAGTCTTGAGTGAGATAGAAGCAGATATACAGAGAGAAAGGGGTGAGAAAAATCCTTTTTCTATAGAAAGATTTAAAGGGTTTAATTATATTCAAAGACTAAAATATAATATTAAATAAAATACTGGTTAATTAATGCTTCCACAAAATTGAAATTTTTGTATGTAATCAGTTGCCAAATTTACTTTTGAACCAAACAGGCCACACTAATGTAGTCTCACTGCCTGTATTTTGTGCAGGCTTGATACAAAACAGTAAATATTTTCTCACCATTTGATGCTTACAGGCTCTATGAAACTATTCTATACAAAACATCAGTTTTATGTTGATAGTCGTTAGGTTTTCAAGTCATGTCTTCATGTGTCACTAGGTGTCATGCCGTGCCCCCCCCCCAAGTATCTTGTCTTCATGGGTCAGTTTTTGGTGGTGCATTATGTTTTTATTTTTATTTATTTGTATAACCACAAAAACCCAATACTCTGATAATAGCTTATTAAAGCTAAAAGTACTTGGAAAATATTACACAATTTATGCTATATTACAATTTTCCTTGGAAACTATAGAAAAATAAAAAAAAAATCTAACAATTTTTGTTGTTTTTTTCAACCAAACAAGCATAAAGGAAAAAATGTTGCCCAAATATACTGTGTGTGAGATATATATATATATATATATATATATATATATATATATAGTAATTATTATTATCAATTCACCCCAAACAAGGGTTTACTGGGAATGAAAGAGAATGAAAATACTTTAGAAGAGACTGGAAAGCCAATTGTAAACTGGGGATAAGGGATAAACCTTTACTGTTAAAAAAACATATCTACTCCTATTCTGTGTGTGTGTGTGTTTTGGAAATCTCTAATTTCTTTGCAAATTTACATAGATGCTATATTATGAGACAATAGTGATGAAACTTAATATCTGGAAATGGTGTTTTAAAAAAAAGGATTGCTGTCCAAATACATGCAGTGTATCTTCTTTTGGAAGATGTGTTCTGAATAAAATAATTAATTCATTTCTGCATTAATCAGAATTGCAGATAATAATAATAATGTTTAACTCTGCTTATGCCAAAAGCATCTGTATTGCGTTTTATACATGATACAGTATTTTGCATTTTGATTTAGAGTTTCATGGCTAACTTAAATAATTTGTTATACAAATAATTTCTATAGCAAAATAAAACAATTTTTTGGTCGAGGGGAATAAGTGTGTTATTCTGAAAATTAAGTCTTAAATCAATTATTCCTATTTATCAAATCTGGAATTTTTACCAATTCTCTCTAAAATTACTTTCTAGACTTTACCATCATGACCTAAAACTTCCCAGCTGTGGTTATAATGAATATTTTCCGGTTATTTAAATTTTGATCCGTTGGTGGTATAGGGAAAAAATAAACAAAAAACAAAACTTTTTATAAAATTATATTAATGGTGGTTTTTGTTTTTTAATCAGTTCACTCCCACTAAGGTGATAATGTCACTAAGATGCAAGGAGCTACTGGGAGTGAAAGAGAATGAAAAGACTTTAGAAGGAACTGGAAAACCAATCTTAAACAGGAAATGAGATAAAACACTACTCCTGTTCAAAATACCAGGGAGGTTTGTGAAATGGACGATTGGTGAACCTATCTACTATTGATGGAAAAAAAAATAGTAAATAAAATGTGAGGGTGTAAACCAGACAATAGATGAGCCTATCTACTTCTATTGAGTGGGGTAGTAAATAAAATTTCAAAGTTAAGGCAGAGGTGTTAGAGCCCCCCCTTCCCCAATGAATTTTAACTACTTATTTGCATTTAAACATGCCACCTACAAATGAAAACAATGATTCTGTTAGGTTGGTGCTAATTAGGAAGTGGAATTATCTATCTGGTTACATCCCATTACCCTCCAAATCCTGTGTGTGTGTAAAATACTTGTTTTACATGACTTTGTTGCTCGATAAGATTAGTGGATTTAGTAAGAATTAAATTTAAGAATTACTTGATACTGTTTAAGGGAACATACTAATGATCATAAATGCTTTTTGGATATTTATTGGGCTTAGCCCACATTTATAGAGTACTGATATTGGTAAAGGGAAAAACACTTTAAAAAGTTTCATTTTATTTATAACTCTTCTTCAGCAATCTGCCTGCAAGAAAAATAAGCCAAAAAAAATGGTAGGTCAAAAGGATGGTTTTCCCTTGACACTTCTATTATTTTAACTACCTTCACTCCTTGGCAATATTTATTGTTTTAAAAAGAAATGATTAGAATTTTAATAAAACCTAAACCTGATGAAAAGTGAATTTATACATTTTTTTTCTTGAGAATTTACAACAAAAATATTAATCTCTTTTAGATTGTTTATTTACAAGAATTTATATTTACAATATTTTAAAAACTAATAGAATTATATTAAAACTAATGTAATATTTATCATTTACTACTTTATAAAGAAATAAATATGAAAACAATTTTTATTCATAAATTTATAAATATTAAATTATTAAAATATGTTAATGAACTCTAAGGAAATCTTTTTCCAATTTTATAAAGTTTGAATTGATTGGCCAAATAAACAATAGTGTTAATAAGCAGTCTAATAATGTTTATTATTTTTGTTCTTAATTCTCAAAAACAAAGAAAATGTATAAATTCACTTGCATATATTTAGGTTTTATTATAATTCTAATCATCACTTTTTAAAACAGTCCCCATTGCCAAGGAAGGTAGTTAAAATAATAGAGGTGTCCAGGGAAAAAACATCCTTTTGATACTTAGTTTTTTTGTAGGCACAAAAATCATCTGCTTTCATTAATTCCATTATTTTCTTGATTTCAGATTGGTACGTCAAGCTTTGGATAAAATCTCAGAAATCAAATCAATCCAAGAAAACAGACGGCTTGGGAAACTTGGTAAAAACAAAAGCATTTTTATTTTATTATAATCATTTGTTAATTTCCAATTTTATTCAATATTTATGTTTCTCTGATCATTTGCAATTGAAAAGAAATGCCTCAATATTTGCTGTGCACATCCATACTTCTAAGTGTCTATTAATATTGCCAAACTTTAAAAACATTTTGTTTACAAATATTTACAGATACTGACCGGCCAAAACCTATAATCCGACGAGGAGTTTTGATGACAATGTTACAACAAAATGCTGTATCCCTGCCACTTTGGGTTAGCAAGCCTGGAGAAAAGTAAGTAACAGTAAGACCCCCCCTTTTTTTTTTTTTTTTTTTTTTTGTCTTTATTTGTGTGTGTATATTTTAATGGTTGATGAATGGAATCTGTTGCTCTCCCTCTTACCCACTCAGTAGCTGAAGCAGTGAAAAATTTTAATGTTCTTTGCCACTGAAAGTGTTAATATTTATTTTCTATTTGTTTACATTAAAAAATAAAAATCTGTGCTTGTCTACATATATCTCATTGTTTTACAAATAAGTAAGATGACTTCACAAAACTGAATTAGTTTTTGATCGATTCGTTTTCTACAGCTTATCAACCACTTGCATGCTATTTAAAGCCAGAAAACATTTTTAGATGGTAAGAATTTTTTTCTTTTTTTTTTTTTTTTTTAGATAATAATGGTTTATTGATAAAAATTTTACAAATTAACCCATAGCTCGGGAGAAGAGGAGGATTCATACTTTTCCCAAGAGTACTTGCATGCAAGTGAACATCACGAACCCAACTGAAGTTGCAACTTTGCTCTCCGATGAACAATTCCGAGCCATTATCCATTACACCACCTGCACATCCAAGCTTACAACACCTAGGATTCCCAAGCAGTCACCCATCTAAGTACTAACCAGGCTTGACGTTGCTTAACTTTGGTGAATGTGCAGGAACTGGTGTTTCAACAAAACTGAATTGGGTTCACATTAGAACTTTACACTTTCATTTGGTCCTCTTTGTTCCATTTGTAACTCTAAAGCAAGGGTCAGCAACCTACAGCCCGCGGCCTGGATCCGTCCCGCGAAGGCATTTTGACCACCCCGCGAACCTGATTACCAATGACTCTATTTTTAATATGAGAGACGACCATCAAATGAAATTTGTTATATGTCATTTTCCATAGAATGTCTACACATCTCAGTGCACTAAAAATATTAGACTATCTACCAGTTATCTTTCATGAGACTTATTTTACCAAGTTACGTTGCCTACGTTTAATGTCAAATAATGGATACATATTTGTTATGACCCTTGGCTACATTAAAAGATAACAGAAGCGAAAAAGAACGATAAAGTGAAAAAGAGGCCAGGGGGGACTGACCTGCAAGGTAGCAGAAATCTAAAGACAGTTAAACATACGCGCATTATACATACATGCCTCATGAATGTGTGGATGATACCGCATGTGTACGTATGTAAGTGTATGTTTGCAACTATTTGTACTTGTATGTATGGGTATATGTACTTCGTTTTTGTTTGATGTGTGTGTGTGGTTCGTTTGTGGAGCAATTTTCAATAACAGTTTCAAACCTGCACGTCATAATTTCATCCATTTCACTTCGGTTGTTTTTTTTCTTTTTGAAGTATTTTGTCGTTCCTTGAGGAAAAGTAATTTTTGTTAGGTGTTTTTTAATTTTAGATTTTCTTTTGTTTTTCTGATTTCTCAATGTTTATTTTCATTATGGTTTTAAATATTTAGCTTGACAGCGGTCTGCATATGTAATTTTCCTTAATTTTTCATTAATGGCCTTTATCCGGCCCGCGACCCGTCATTATAACACGATCCTGTCTGCGGGGTTGAATGAGTTGCCGACCCCTGCTCTAAAGCTTTTGTCACTTGAAATTTACATACATTTTTTTTTTTCTTGTAGCAAAATGGCATTTTTTTTTATTATACAGAACTATATTAACTATGAATCTAATGTATAAAAATGTCAGTTTCTCTGTGTGCACCTATAACAATGAAATATTAAGTTATGTTTATGAATAAAAAAATGACAATAGGAAAACTGGTAATTGCTGACGCGTTTAGGTCCAATGTGGACTTTATCAAAGCAAAATAAGAAAATACTTTGATAAAGTCCACATTGGACAATTCTCTATTTTCATTTATTCATAATAATGTCTTCTCTACCGATTAAATGGGAGAAATTTTCACATTAAGTTATGTATTATAAAACAATAACCTATAACAATGAAATATTAAGTTATTATACAGTGTAACCCGGATATAAGAGATTTTCTCTGGTCATTAGAGTTGTGTTAAGGTATTAAAATAGACCAAACCCGGATATAAGAAAAACCCGGATATAAGAGATTTTCTCTGGTCCCAAATTAGTCTGTGTTAAGGTTAAAAATAGACCAAACCCGGATAAATTTTCTCTGGTCCCAAATTAGAGTTGTGTTAATGTATATAAAACAACCAAACCCGGATATAACAATAAGAAATTTTCTCTGGTCCCAAATTAGTCTATATATATAAAATAGACCAAACCCGGATATAAGAGAAACCCGGATATTTTTCTCTGGTCCCAAATTAGAGTCTGTGTTAAGGTATATAAAATAGACCAAACCCGGATATAAGAGAAACCCGGATATAAGAGAGATTTTCTCTGGTCCCAAATTAGTCTGTGTTAAGGTATATAAAATAGACCAAACCCGGATATAAGAGAAACCCGGATATAAGAGATTTTCTCTGGTCCCAAATTAGTCTGTGTTAATGTATATAAAATAGACCAAACCCGGATATAAGAGAAACCCGGATATAAGAGAGATTTTCTCTGGTCCCAAATTAGTCTGTGTTAAGGTATATAAAATAGACCAAACCCGGATATAAGAGAAACCCGGATATAAGAGAGATTTTCTCTGGTCCCAAATTAGTCTGTGTTAAGGTATATAAAATAGACCAAACCCGGATATAAGAGAAACCCGGATATAAGAGATTTTCTCTGGTCCCAAATTAGAGTCTGTGTTAAGGTATATAAAATAGACCAAACCCGGATATAAGAGAAACCCGGATATAAGAGATTTTCTCTGGTCCCAAATTAGTCTGTGTTAAGGTATATAAAATAGACCAAACCCGGATATAAGAGAAACCCGGATATAAGAGATTTTCTCTGGTCCCAAATTAGTCTGTGTTAAGGTATATAAAATAGACCAAACCCGGATATAAGAGAAACCCGGATATAAGAGAGATTTTCTCTGGTCCCAAATTAGTCTGTGTTAAGGTATATAAAATAGACCAAACCCGGATATAAGAGAAACCCGGATATAAGAGAAACCCGGATATAAGAGACTTCCTCTCCGGTCCCGACAACTCTCTTATATCCGGGTTACACTGTATATGTATTATAAAATGATTTATCAAAAAGTAATTTCTAAAGCAAAACGATTTTTAGAGAAGACTGAGAAGATGCATTGAAGTATTTTTCAGAGTTTCTGTCCTCAAAATTCTGCTGTAATGATGTAAATGGTCTTGTTTATCATTAATAAATATGAAGAGATTTAAATGACTCATATTCTAGTAACATCTATGAACATAAAAGATTTAACAATTCAAACTCACTTGTAATACACACAGACAAAAACTGACCATAACTATACTGCTGTAATTAAAAAAAAAAGAACATAATTCTTTGTTTCAAAGTACTTTGAGGGCCTACTAATGACAATATTACCAACTACATCACCAATCTTTATTGAATCCATTCTTAAAGAATCTAACATGTTTATCTAAAACAAATGGTATGCATGTAAAAATGTTCTCAAACCAATACACAAAAAAAAACAACAAACATAATATCTTCTATGCACACACTTATGAATATACATTATCATCTGGATCCCATATAGACAAACTAGAATTATGATACTTACATAAAAAAGCAGTGTTTACGGTTTTTCAGTTTAGGCTTGGAATTTGTTAATTTCTTGGAACTTCAAATGCATGCATTCTCGCCTTGAATTTGGAATGCCGCAAATTATATTAAAATTTGTTAACAAGTTGAATGCATGTGAAACACAACCAATGAAAATCAAACAACTCAAAAGTAAAAATACCAGAGTTTCTTTGTTTTTTTCTTTTTCTTTTTTTTCCATATCTCATTCTCTGATGAAGCTTTAATAAAAGTGAAACATGTTAGATTGGTAAACATCTATTTGATTTTTATCTTATTCTGTCAGATTCTGATCCATATTTGATCCTAACTCATATTACTAGTAAATAAATTTGCTATTATTTTAACTCAATCAGTATTTTTCAAAATTCAATAAAGGAAAAAATTAAAAAGCATAAATTGTAAAAATGTACAGAAACTGAAAGTAATTGATTTCATCTTGTTAGAACACATTATGAGGAAAGAGGACTTGGAGAATCTGACATGCACAAAACACAATGACAGCAAGAGTGACAGAGGAAAGCAGTCAGTAACAGATATAATGAGATTGTGTAAATGAATGGAAAAACAGGGATGGCAAAAAGACCCCTTACTAAGCTAGAAATGATAGGAAGTTGTGGAGAGCCATGATCGGTCACGTCACAGCACATAGAAGTCTTTGGAAGAATGTCTTATGCAAGTGATTTTTTTTTCCTTGCTGCATTCAGTTGTAAAATTCAGAATGATATGAATATTTGTGACTTTTTCCAGACCCCCTCCACTGTGTGGAGCAGTTCCAGCTGATGCCAATTATGTTGGTAAACCTGGGGACAAAGTAGCTGCCCGAGTGAAAGGTCAAGATGGTGAAGAAGAGAACTGGATTTTGGCAGAGATCTTCTCTTACAGCAGTACCAGTTGCAAATATGAAGTGGATGATATTGATGCAGAGGAGAGTAATGAGTAAGTTAATCCATTCTCACCTGTCAATCTGCTCTGCCTTTTCAATAGGGTACTTGACTATTAGAATTAGGGCAGGGTAAATAGGTTAGTTAATAGTACCCACCAATTCCAATTTGTTTTTGTTTTATTTATTTTAAATTTTTTATAAACTAGAAATCTGGCAGACATTTAATTTAACAATGATTAACTAGAATTTTTCAATTTCAGAATTAAGTTGTATTTTCATTATGGATAAAAAGGCATTATTAACACTTACAAATAATGGCTTCTGCATTATAAAATTCTACATTTATGAAAAAGTATTGCCCTTAATTTTTAAGGTTTTCACCACTTTAAAATAAAAACATGATGAAAAATATTTTTCTTTAATAATGTAATTGGATTTCATAATACCAAAGTTAAACAAAACAAAAAAAAAAAGTCAATAAAATATTATCAATGGTTAAATATTGTTTGTTTTCAAGTACTTTTTGTCACTGAATGCTTTAGACATTCTTTCATCCCTGACTAAAATGACTAAATCTGTGCATAGTCATATAACAGTAAAATTGCTGCTTTTGATGGAATCATCATGAACGTTTTGTACTTAAATGTTTTTTCAATGAAGAAAAAATAATTTCCAGTTGCTGTATGTCAGTAGATATAAATTGTTGTTAAATCCGTTCCTGATAAACTTTTACAAGAGAGGAATTATCGGTGACCACGTTAATCTGTGTGTTTGGACAAGGCAAATACTTAGTGTTAAAACAAAGCAAAAAAGATTATTCAGAATTATCTCCCTTCCACCTTATTTTATTTTCTCATGAATTATGTCCTTATTTGTGATCAATCGGTTAAGCAACGTTCTGTATAAACAAAACGAAATGAGTGTTTCTTGAAAATTAGGATACTGTTAAAAAAAATAAAATTGGGATTTAATCTCAACAAAAGGTAATGGTACTCCTCTGTTAGAAAATAACCCAAAGCAATCTCATTAATGTTTCATTTCATAGTTTCAGAAATTTTGGATTACCACTTTTGGCTAATAATCTTTTTGAAGAATTGGGCAATTGTCAAATTAGAAATTCGTTAACCCCTTCAGTAGACATGCGATTCTTAACATAGTCTGGCACAGTCATGGGGGTGTGTGGTTCGCTGTGATAGAATTGGACTCACACCATCAGTAATGATCTATACTTGGTGAGTGTTGCTTTTCAGCAAAGAACCTACCTTGATATAATTTTTCACTAAACTTAGTCAGGCACATGGTAACTAGTGTGAGAATTTCTCCTCTTGTGCTCTTGGTAGCAATGATCTGCTAAAAAATGTTTTGTGACCATTGCTTCATGGAAATAGACCCAAGTACTTGCTGAGGAAATCCCAACAAGTGGAAGCAAGTGTAATTTATATTCAAAATTTTTTCCTTACCAGAGAATTTTTCATTTAAAAGAGATCTTTTTATTTCATTTAAAAGAATGAACATTTAAAGATAAAGGGGTTAAATGTTTATGAAATGTCAAATAACATTTTGAAAGAAAGAATAAGTCTTTTTGATCTTTGGTGTTCCCTGTTTTTTGGGGAAGGATATATTAGATGTGCTTTCTTTTAATTCATGCAGCTTCAAAATTCAATTTTAAATTTAAAAAATTGTGAAAAATGGAAATGAATCTTGTAAAAATTCATTTTTCATTGAAAAATTTTTTTCTTCATACAACATTGTCTTTAATATATATTCATAAAAGCAATTAAAAGCTTCTCATAGTAAAAAAAAAAAAAAAAAATCTCAGTTTTATTGTGGTTTCTTATTTTTTAATTCAGTAATTTTTAGTAAAACCAGGTCCGATTTTGCAATAAAACAAAAAATTAGTGATTTAAATTCTTGAAAATATTCTGCTTTTAATTAATAGTCACTAAAAATTATCTCCATGAATTTCTCAAGATTTCATAAAATTAAGTAAGGGGGAGAAACATGTAAATTTAAAAATATTTTTACAGAGGTTTTCTAATAAAAAATATATCAAAAATAATTTATTTTGTTTGTGAATAAGTCCTGAAAATTTTCTTAAAATCCAATTGTTTTTTTTTTTTTGTTTTTTTCTTTATTAGACATTGAATTGTAAAAACAATAACATTTTTGCTGTTCTATATAAATACTTGTCACAAAATAAAATCCTTACATTTGCCTTGATAAAGTTCCTCAGAATACGAAGTGCATCAGTTAAGATAAATTTTCCTTTTTTCTTATATATATATATATATATATATATATAGTATTAATATAAAGAGAAAATTTGTCACTTAGCTGATTGATGTTATATTCGTCACTCTGAGTTTTGTAGATGAACCATTTTTTTGTCATTTGCTGGTACACCCATCAGGAAGCATCATCGATTAATTTCCTTAATATAAACTAATCAAGGGATTTAAAATATCAAGACTCGTATTAATAAAAAAGCTTAAAAAAAATTTTTTTCTGTATTTTAATGTTGGGCTAAATGAAATCCACAAGTGTTTTTGGAGATTTTTTTTTTTTTCTTTTTCTAAGGAAGGAAATATCCTTTCATTCATGCATAATGACATGTACGCACACACACACACACACACAATAGACAGTAAGACTATCAGTTGTAACAGTTGTTATCAAACGTTAACTAACAAGTGAATTTCCTTAATGAGCAGGCGACATTCATTGAGCAGGAGACGGATTGTACCGTTGCCTATCTGGAAGGCTAACCCAGAAACAGATCCTGATGCCTTGTTTCCAAAAGAGACGGTAATTACTATATTTTTTTTTCTTTTATATCCCACCCTCCATCCATCCTCCTATCTCAAAATGTTTATTTTCATGTTTTTCTTGTTTTTTTGTTTCTGTATGCTGGATTAAAGATTTGTCTCCTTTTATCTTTAACATTCACATTTTTACAAAATAAATAGTTACTTTTAAATAAAAAAAAATATTTGTATGTTTTGTTGTTATAATCCTTAAACTGTTATCTTTTAATATTGTCTGTGTGTGTGTGTTGGGTACCTATCTGAATAAGTTTATTTGTTATATTCTGCCTTGGTAATAAATTTAATTTTGATTCACACAAGGTGGTTTTTATGTTAAATTTGGTTTAGCTCAGTAATTATCTTTGTGTGTGTGTGTGTGTGTGTATATACAAGAGTGCTGAAAAGTTTTTGAACCAACAAAGGAGTTTCAAAAAATAATCTAAGTTACATTCTGGATAGTGAATTGGGCTGAGAACTTTTCAGCTCATTTATACATTTAATTTCATTTAAAATAATTCACTTGAATGTTAAAACATAATCTCTGATGATAGTATTTCAAAAAAAATTTTATCATTTCATCCCAAACAAGGCTATAATGCCACAAAGACTCGAGGAGTTACTGAGTGTGAAAGAATCTGAGAAAAAAACATTGAAATAGGATAATAAAAGAACAGAAATTAAGAAGACAGTAGATGACTATTGACATTGCATTTAAATTTTTGAAGATCAAAGTTGATTGGAAAGCAGGAAGAGTTCCACAAGCAAGTGTGAGAAGTAACTTAGCATAGAACTGCTAGCAATTTCAATTGTAAAATGATGAGACCTAGATGCCAATCTAGTACTGTGCTTAAATTTCTATTTGTGTGTGTGTGTGTGTGTGTTAAAAATGAAATCCAAGATAATATATCAATCTGTTGAAAAAGAACAGTTACTCTCAATTTTTATATTTGTGTGGCAGTGCAGTCTTGGGTTTGGTTCTCAATGTTGAACTGGAATTACTACTATATTTCCCTATATTTTATCTCTTTACATTTTGAGATCAGCCCTCAACATTGCTGACTTCTTTCTTTTTGAAAAGAATTTTAGGGAATTTTCATTGAACCAGTCCATCAAATTCACTCTCTATAGCTTGAGTACATGGATATTGTAGCTTGACTGATTAATTGAAAATCTGTATATTTACACTGGTTTGAAGTCAATTCTGTAAATGAAAAGATAATTTAAGATAAGACCTTTTCATTCTTTGGTAACTCTTCTACAGCTGTAAGAAAAGGGTTGAACTAAAAAAAAAAAAAATGATACTCAGGCTACCTTAGTCTGACAGTTGTACCACCTAGCTGGAATTAATCTTTATCTACTAGAGTAGATTACTCTCTCTTTTTGAGAAGGCAAGAACAAGAAATCTGATCACTAATTGAGTTTATACCACTTTTAAGGATCAATTGTTAATCTTGTAAAATATTAACCACTAATTTGCTTGTCACTGCAGATGTGCAGGTGGTGTAAGGGATAGCAGCTAGGAATGAGAAATCGGAGAGCCAAGTTCAAATTCCGGTTGGGTTTGTTACATTGAGAAAAGTATGAATGCATCTCTTCTCTCACCAATTATGGGTTAAATAGTGGACTATTTCTGAAAAAAAAATCATTATTTTTAAAAAAATGAATGCAATATTCCCTTGCCGAAAAAGATTATTTGTTTCGGCTTTAAATAACTGACAAAGGGTTGATAAGTCGTAAAAAACAGATCAATCAATCTGCAAGGGAATCAGAAGTTTCAAAGATTTCTTTAATCTAGTGGAGGTGGACTGTTAGATGTTCCAAATAATTCCTCATAGATATGGAGTTTAGATGCAATAAGAAAAACGCATGCTTATTAAAATCTACATTTGTTGGCAAATTCAGATTGAAAGTGTTTTTATTAAATGATAGAATTTTTGAGTGAAGGAAGAGACTTTTTACCAATTTAGTAAATTAGCATATTGTGTTCATATCAGTAATGATTTGTGTTTTTCCGTTGCTAACTGTTGATGAATTGACTTATTGGAAATGACTGAACAGTTTTTGGCTTGACTCAGTTTCCCCCAAAATTGTCTCAATTATCAGATTTTTATTATTTTTAATCACTTTGGTTTGGTTAATAGCTTTTCAGCTTCTCTTAGAAATAAGGTTTGCATAAAATATCCCTTTCAAATTTGATTTAAACTTTTTAAAATATATAATTAGTTGATTTTCAGATGACATGACTAGAAATTTGTTTTTAAAAATTGTTTGAGTTTATTTATAAATGTCTTATTGAGAAAATAATATCTCGTTTTTTTTTTATGTGGGGTTGGTTGGGCAAATGATTAATTTGAATAATATACTAGGATTAATCAGAAGTATGGGGAGGGATATTTTAAAACCAGAAAGCCTAACCATTAAACCTAACGTGTCTAGTCTTTTTACTTTTCTCTTTCACAGCTGGTTCTTGCATTGTACCCCCAGACCACATGTTTCTACCGAGCACTTATTCATGAGCCTCCAAAAAGGGTAAGAATTAATTTTGATATCTTAATTTTGGAAAACCACTTTTTTGCTTGACCTAACTTGTAATTCTTTTGTTAAAAGTAAATGTGTTTATAACAAGTTGTTATATAAGAATAAAGTGTTGCTGCTGACATTTAGGTTTGAATACAGATTGCCAGAGAGCAAGCACTGTCACCCTCATCTTGAAATAATTAGATCATGTAATGAGTAAAGGAAAAATATATATATGCGAATTAGCAGCGTCTGATCAAATAATGTTCGAAGGCATTACTATTGTATCGGTGATTTACAAAGTCTGTCCTACAAACAGGCATTATAAAACAAGTTTACCTATCACATATCAAAAAATGACAGCAACATTGATGTATTTTACATTTGCATTTGTTCTGTCATGCTGCATGAGTTATCAAGTTTTTTTTATCGATAGTTAACTATTGTTGCATGTATGAAAGAATTAGGCATTTTGAAATTAAAAGCAAAAATATCCAAAGAAAGTTAACATGAAACAAAATGTTATGTATTAGCAGCCTGATCTCCCCTACTTTCCAATTAGATATTCCATTATGCACATTTGAGGCATGTTTGCTTATTTGCATTAAGCAATACCTCCTGTTATAAGAACAGAATAAACATCTTACAAAAGGTGTGGTGGGGAATCAAACTAAGTATAAATACAAACTAGTTGCTTACCACCATCACCTCCTCCTCTTCTCAGTTTTGACATTAGATTATTTTACTTTTGTTTTTGTTAGAAAATTTGTTCATTTCTAATGATTTCTCATTTCTCTCTGAAAATGAAAGAAAACTCATGACTTTTATGTTTGTTGTTTTTTTAATTGCATTGTTATTAGTTTGTTACTTTAAAAGTAATCATTTTTATAATTTCATATAAATTTATATGGTATCAATATGTTTAATAATAAAATTGCCATCCGAAAATTTTTGATAAATTCTATTTTGCACTTTCTGTCATGGAAAAAATGAAAAAAAAAAAATTGCATTAATCTGTAATCTGTTACTTTTAACCCTGATGTGGGAGCTATGAAACAAATATCAACATTTCCATTCATTCAAGCAATCACACACACACACATAATGAGAGCGAGAGAGAGAGAGAAAAAAAAAAAAACAGCAAATACTACAAACATAGTTTTCTATAAAAATGCCTTGAAAAATCACAAAGGAAAAGGTTGTTGGGGGCCGGGAATTAAGACAAGCATTACATCTATAATGATGTACCATATTTGCCAGCCTATTGGACACATCCAGATTTTGGCATGGAATATTTAAGAAAATAATTGCACATACCACAACCCAAAAAACCAAAATTATAACCTTATCTTTGTGACATTCTCACTAACCATAAAGAAAGACTTTTTATTTTTATGGTATTAGCACAAATTATACCACTTTTTTTTTTTTTTTTTTATAGAAGTAAGGTATGGTTTAATTAGCAAGATACTTTTTGGAAAAGAAGAATTTTAGTACATTTGTTCATACATTTATTGAAAACTATTTTAGTTGTTTTTCAGAGAGATTAACATCTGCACATACAGTAAATTTATAATAGCTACAAAGAAATCTACTAGTATCAGTGGACACTAGTACATATATTGTAATAAGCCCCCCCACCGCAAGATATGGCACTTGTTGGTAAATGAAGTTTCATACCATACATGCAGAAAGGCAAATTCCAATACCTGTATATCAACAGAAATACGCACAAAGCAAGCAGCAATATATCAGTCAAAGAAAATATTTCTGTAAAATCTGATATTTCTACAAAACAAGCTGCAAGATATTGTGTAATTCCATAAATTTATTTTTTCTGCATGAATTTTTAAGGGATATTTTGTATTGATATCAAGTTTGTTCACTTCCAAGAATCCTAGTTTCAGAGCTTAGTTCTATGCATGCACTGATTCCTAGTAAACCCCGTTTTTTTCATGGTCTTCATGTCCCTCTTTACATGGTACTGCTATATTGGACGCAGTGTAATTTTTGGTGCATCTTTTGAAAATAGGCCAGCACATACCGTATCTTTATGGATGTTGGACATTATGATGTTTGATTTCACAGGCTATTGTTCTTTTGCTTCGTGTCCCTTCAGGACATGAGCGATAATAAGTAATTATATGACTCCTTCCTTGTCCTTACTTACTCCCCTAATCAATTTTATAAATTCTCTTAATTTCTTTTTAATGGGTAAATTTTTCAGGAATATATTTTGATATCAAGTTTGTTCACTTCCAGGAGTGCTAGTTTCAGAGTTAAGCTCTGTGCATGCACTGATTTCTGGTGGATCCCATTTTTTCTGTGGTCTTCATATCACTCTTATACACTGTATTGGACACTGGGTAATTATTTTGGGAAAAATCTGCATCCAATAGTCTGGCAAATACGGTACATTTTGCCTGTACTTAACTTTTTGTTTTTATTTTTTTCAGCCTCAAGATGACTATATGGTATTATTTGAAGATACATCTTACCCAGATGGCTACTCACCACCCCTTGGAGTTGCTCAGCGCTATGTGATAGCTTGTAAAGAGGAAAAGAGAAAGTAAGGTTGCCCTCTGTGCATACACTCACCTCTTTATAAAAGAAAGAAATAAATCAAAATGATGAGATATTCTTTAAGTGACTCGGCAAAGATTTGCTTCCCTCGAAAGAACACTTGTCAAATCACCTGGGCTATTTATCGTCTTTTCTCAAACCATTTAAAAGGATTTTTTTTTTTTTTTTTATGGTTCATGTGGGGACAGTCCTTATGAATATTATTTCAAAGGTCTGGAACATCCATAACCAACATGCTTGCGATGTGTATGTATGTATGTATATATAACCACACATGCACGCACACCTTCATATATAATGGTCTCCTCAGCATTGGCTCTTCAATTGATTATAAACAAACACCAAACATGTTTCTTTATTATAAACATCTGGCTACAACCTGATGTCTTTCGATCTTCTCCTGCCAGTCTCTTAACCCCCATTGTTTCTGATGTGGCCTCACCTGGGACGCCTTATGTCCCCCCCAAACCTGACCAGGATATTGCCACTCTTAGCCTTGTTATTTACAGACTGGAACAAGCATAATAGAAAAACAGTTATACAGAGGACATACACACTCGCACTCACATTATTATATCCAAACAATATATGGTTGCCTTCTGGTTAGTTTTTCTATATCTACTGTATTGGCATGAACTGGTGTGCTTGGATTCAATTCAGCTAAACTTAGTGTATGATACATGCCCAAATTTTTTAATGTAGTTTTAGAAGGATTGAGTAATTTTAGAGAAATTCCTGAAAGTCACAATTGCATATTTTGAAAATTGAACCAGAGTTTGAGAATACAAATATTTCACGTACGGTTTCTTTTGTGATTTTTATGAATGACAATTTTATTGTTACCCTTTATTTATTTATTTATTTATTTTTTAAAGTCCTAATTTTCTGAAAATTGTAATGTTTTCTAAGAAATTCTGGGTAATGTGTAGACAAAGTTCTGTAATAGGAGTCCAAATATTGAAATGCTTTCCCACCCACAAGCATTTAAAAATGTATGCACATGTGTGCATAGAAAAAAAAAAAAAAAAAAAATACATGCCCACACAAAAATGCATGCAAACATCGTCCTCATTGACTCTTACAAATGCCGGAAATAAATCCTTTTTTTTTTTTTTTTTTGCAGTTGAAGGGAGGAGAGTTGTCCCTGTAATTATTTACTTTATTATTAACAACAATAATAATAATAATTAATTATTATTATAACAAATTTGATTATAATTCTTAAAAACAAAAAAAATAGAATTTCTACCAGTGCTGATATTACTGCCCCCTCCTCAGCAAGTTTTTTTTGCTGCTGCTGCTCTTGTTCCTCTTCAACTAAACACAGACGGATTTAGAAGAATGGTTGTTGTTGCTGTTGTTGTTGTTGTTGTTAACTTTTGACAAACAAGATTGGTTGCCTTAAAAATCCAAATGTTTAGGTTTCTTGCTCTCTCAGACATGAAAAGATGTGCGTGTGTACAGCCATGTGCGTATGTATGTGTGTGTATATGTAATTCATGAGCTGTGGGGCACCGAGATGCAGGAGAAGTGTGGAGGGGGACTCTATTGTGGCTGGTGAAGGGAAGGCATTTCTTTGTTGGCTTGATGTTTTAACCCCGCCCCATCCAATACCCCCAAAAATTGCCTCCCTCCGCCCACCCTGCCTCTCCTCTCATATTTGTGTGAATGAAAACATTTTTCAGGAGTAAAATAATCTCACCACCCTCCCTGTTTTTTTTTTTTTTTTTTCTCCTCCTCCCTCAAAAAAATCTGTTCTTGGATAATAAAAAAAAAAAAAATTAAATATTTTTTTGTTTTTGTTTTCAATTTGTTTTTATAAATCATTTTATTAAAAAAAAAAAATGTTCTAATATCATCTATAATTTTGTTGATTGATGTTCCATACCATTCCAGATGATTGCAAGTTTTTTTTTTTCTCTCTCTCTCTCTCCTGTCTCAATGTTCCAGTGTCTTGATTCTACAGCCTTCCCCAGGTAAATGATCTGTAAGCAAAGAAGTGGTGTATTTGAGTGAATTTATTTTTCCCCAAATCACCTGTGTTGCATCATTTGATGAGGATTCTCCCCAAAGTGAGACTTGCAGTTTCACTCACAAAACTTGATCTAATCCCTTGTATGGTTTTCAAGCACTTTCCAGAGGTGCTCCTCACTGGAACTGGCTCACTTCCCCAGACTGATAACATCAAGAAATCACCTTCCTGGCAAATCAAACATGATGACATTCAAACCTGGGTCACATGGTTGGATAGTGAACACACACACACACACACACACACACACACACAATTTTGTAGAAAATATGTGTCCTCCAACAGGAATTGAATCTGTATCCTACATGGAACTGTCATTTAGCCTGATGTGCTACAGAGGAAGTGTCTGGTTAGCAAAGTCAAATTACTGTTTTTAAACAACAAATTTACCCTGATCATTTCTCAAAAGATCATATCTGCTCAAAGTGTATCTTAATGCAAACAAATGACAACATATATTATGAAATGGACAAAGTCTGACAATTATTTTTTTTAAGTTATCTTCTGTTTATACGTTATTTTTATGGATACAAATATTTACGTAAATGCTCTGTTTATAATAAATAGTATTAATTACATTTACTGGCCTGAATGTCAGAAAATTTACTTAAATATTAAAATAATTGTCAAACTTAGTCCATGTTTATATATAAACTGCATGTAGAGATTATATGCAAGTTATGACTTGGTATAAAGAGTTGCGTCTTTAATGTTAAAAGTCCTATTATGATGTTGTTTAGATTCTACTCAATATTATTAACTTAGATATGTAGTGATAGAGAAAACTATTGTTTTTGGTTGGAAAAAATTTTACTAAGTTAACAAAACAGACTAATTTGACTGTCAGTAGTTTATTTGCAACTATTTATTTTGATACTTTTACATTATTATACCTTGTAAAACTAATGTAAAAAAATATGAAAAGATTTTAGAACAAATTTGTCAGTTTCTTAAAGGAAAAACATAAAAAAAAACATTTTAAAAATAAGATATATTAACAAAAAATAAGAACCTCCTAAAATTTATTGCACAAATGCTCCTTTCTTTTCAATAACTCTTAGCAGCCTATTGTCAACATCTGATGTTAGATTTGCAATTTTAGCGGCTGGTAAGTTGTTTGCAGCAACTTTAACTGCCTCCCAGAGGTCACACTTGCTGTTAAATTGCCTTCCATTAGAATAAATATCTCTCTTGAGGATGCTCTACAGGTTCTCAATGGGATTCAAGTCACAGCTATTTGAAGGCCAGTCCATAAGAGAATCTTTAGTAAACTTTGATGCATGACTTGGTCCGTTGTCTTGCATAAAGATCATATATCTCTAACTTGGCTAAAGACTGGTTATCAAGCCATTCAAAAAGAAATATTGCTCTAGAAAATCACAGTAACTTTTTGGAATTCATTTTAACCCTGTCTTTCAGTTTAAATGGACCCACGAGCTCATTACCAATAATCCCAGCCCATATCATGATCCCACCGCCACCTTGTTGGTGTTTAAAAATTTTCTTGAGTCATGTTGCTTGCAAACCCATCCTCAAGCCCATCCATCGGGCCCATCGAGGGTGATCCTTGATTCGTCTGTAAAAAGCACTTTACTGAAATCAGTTTTCATGTATTTTTTTGCCCACTGCAATCTTCTTTCCTTATGTTTTTTTGTTAAAATGGGTTTCTTTATTTGATTTTTTTTACATCAGCAAACTTCCTTAATGCTTTACACCTTGTTTCCCTTGACACCATAGGAGCTCCAGCGACCTCAAATATGAATGCACTTGACGCATTTGGGTTTCTTATTAATTCTCTTCAGATATGTGATAGATCTCACTTTGTTAAATTCCTGAATTAAGCCTGAGACTTTTTTTCCTTGGTTGAATTCCCATTTGACATATTTTCTTGATTGTTCGATGATCCCTTTTCAAATCCTTAGAAATTTGAAGTGAAGACTAATTTCTTTGATTATATAGTTCTTTTCATTCATTGTTAGTTCTTTTTTACGAGCCATAATACTAAATTCTAGTTCTTGCAAATAATCTCTTGACACTGCAAATTGCTATAATTACTGAAAAAATACTAAATATCAATCTGAAATTGAAAATTGGGACTTAATTGCTTTCATGCTTACTCGCTATACATAATAGTACAAATTATTTCATTGGATAACACATATCTATGAATTTTTGATAAAATATTTGACAAAACCTCTTTTGCATATAATCTCTAGACAATCAGTTTTTATATATATAAATTCCCAAGAGGATAGAATTCAGGTAGAACTCAATGTTCAGGGCAGAGTAAGAATATAATATAAAAGGTTCAATCACTAATATTAGTGTCTGAGCCTTATATATATATATATATATATATATATATATATATATATATATATATATAAATAAACACAATCTCGAATAGATTAACTAAATTTGTAGACACTAGTCTTTCAAGGATATGGTTATATTGTCCTTTTATTGTTGAGTGCTAAATTAAGTATTTTTTCTTAATGGATAATGAATTGTATATTACTATTTATAGGCTTTATGGATTATATATTTCTTTTTAAACAGCTGTTTTCTCTTGCACAAGTGTTACTAACCTTAAAACTTCTTGTTCATGAACTATAATTTGAAAACCTTTTATGAACAAGTGTTTAATATTAATTCATTATAGAAATTTATCTTTAGAAGTGTTTAATTATATAATGGCTTTTACATCAATCTAGATATTTAAGTTTTTTATTTAAGAAGGCAACAGTTAGAATGAGGCCCTTTTATAAGGAGAGATAAGATTTGCTCTTAGAATTGATAAGGACGCTGTAGATGGGAATTATTTCTAAATTTTATGTTTTCGTTTTTATCTTACGGCTTGGCTGAAGTAATGTATCTCTCATACACTAATAAATTAGATACAGAATGCGATGGATAAATTGTCGTCTGAATTATGCAGAAATGAAAATAACATTAACATCTCATTTTAACAGATATATTTACCAAAATTACACAAAAATATCTTGAAAGAGTAAATTTATTCAATAAAACCTTCATTTGCTTCAACCATGGCCTCCAAACGACTTATAACTGAGATACCCTGAGGAAGTCATGACATGGTTAATGTTTTGCCAAAATTCTGCAAAACCCAAGTAGATTGGGGAATGTTTATTCAGAATCTTATGTGGCAAACGTACACAAATCTTACTAAAAATGTCCTGTCTTGGCTACTTTAAAAGCATATCTCACAAGCTGCGCTAATGGAAAATACTTTCAACAAAAAGGGTCTTTGTGTGAATGCCTAATTAATTAAAGTCTCCATTGGAATTGTTACCCCTATAAGTGCATAGATGTGCCATTTTTAGGCAGAAGACCAGCAGAGAGACACAGAGTTGCATTTGGCAGTTAATGCTGCCATCCATTTTCGTAGAATTTTCTAGCAACAATAGACGTTGGCAACATTCCCTGTATTTCACTCATTAGATATCTCAATCCCTCAGGGAAAGGACAGGACTTAATAAAGACGAACCGCATGAGTGTGATGTTTGTGGCTTTTATGTTTCTCATTAATAAATTATTAGTAGTTTTATCAACAGTGTTTAGCCTTTTGGGGAAAGTTACCTGAATTAAGGAAGTTGCTAGGTTCACTAACACAAAACAAAGCCATAGCCTGTTAATGTGAATATTTCATCCCAACAGGTGCACAACGTAAAGGAAGATTTCCATCAGATGACACGACGGTGGAGGAGACTAACGATGGGATGAGCCATGCCCAATTCACGCATCCTTCATCAAACTATGATACTGGAGATTGTGATTACCAGCTAAAGTTTATGTATGACATACAACGTAAGATAAGTAGATTGATGAGGAAGAAAATATTTGAAGCTGGTGTTGCCCATATAAACAGAAAAAATGCAAACATATTAAGGGCATTGGCTAAAGATGTGAATATAACAAGACTACTGCTTTGAAAAAGAAAAAAAACATCATAGAGCTTCAAATTTGAGGTGCAACAAAATGAACAATTACAAATTAGTGTTCTGACTGTCAGGAATTGCTGCTGCTAACAAATATCTGTCTTATATACCTGTAGCCACATCTGCAAGTTGGCTGTGATTTGTCATTGACCAAGCATTGCTACTCTCACGCAAATTAACAATGATTGTAATGTAAATTTTGCAGTGATACCATGTTGAGAGCCTGCCTTCTCTGGACTTGTTCAAGAGAACACAACTCTTAACTACACCAAGCGCCATCCAGGTCATACATTTGGGATCATACTTGCAGTTGTCTGTGACAAGACATTAAATTTTTTTGCCTATTTTGTCAAAAGTGCCATGAAAAGATTTTCGGATCTAAAAGTTAGAAAAAATGTTTTGGTTAGAATAATGAATGTTTGTGTTAAGTTCTATATTGTAAAAAAACTCGTTATTCTACATTTCCAGTTTTTCTTGTTAAAATTCAAAAAAATTATATGTGTAAGGATGCTGAAATTAAGCTTGCTCGGGGTGCTAGCAACCCTATGGCCAGCCCTGAAAAAAGGTTTCAGTGATATTAAATCAATGGGATGGCTTTTAACATCTCCCTATATAATCCAATCTTCAGTAATGAAGATCTCTGGGAAGCAATGAACACTGAAAGTTAAATCGGTGATGGAAGACTGATGAAAATTATCAAAAAAATCAAACTTTTATGAGATCTATTTTAATAAAAGGTTGTTTTTTGATAATGATTTATTCAGGTATATAGGATATTGTTTTAGTCATATGTTTGTATGGTCTTTATATTTTGGAGTTACATATAACTAAAAATTTAATAAAAGTGACTAAAACAACAAGAAAGAATAGCAATAACTAGTTGAAATATTTCCATGAAATAAATCATTCGTTGGAACTACAAGTTTTTCTTTTAATTGTGCAACTACCAACCGAAACAAGCATCCTAACTTTGATATGAATAAGACATGGACCTCATTAATGAAGCGTATGCTCTTTGTAAACGTCATCATTTTTGATTAAGTGTTTCTAGTTTCTTTGCATTGTTTTACTCAAATTAAAGGAGTGACCAAGACTAGTGACAGCTAGTTGAAATATTTCCATGAAATTTGTTGGAACTACAAGTTTTCTTTTAATTATGCAACTTACCAATGGAGACGAGCATCCTAACTTTTATATTTTATTTTGGGAAATTTATGCAGTTTCTACTAGAGAAAGCTAACAAAACCTTTGTCAGATTGTAACCTTTTAAAACATTGTTTCATAGCTGAATAATTAATATCCTTAAGCTGGGGAACCCCAACAATTGTAAAGATAATATTAGACATTTACTTATCAGATGATGGTCACTCCTTGTCATGTATGGGCTTGTGTGGTCTAATGACTCTAAGAGTGATGTTGGGAGTTCTAAACTCCTGGGCTATCCTTGGTGGTAAAGTTGATGACAAGCACCCAGACCAAGCATGATCAACCCAAAAGAGCCCAATAGTGAAACAAGTGGATGATGATTACAATAGATCTCAACAGTTGAACCAACAGATGAAGAAGGCTACACATGACGGATATGTTACGGAAGGTGCTACTTGAAATTATGACAGTCAGTGAAAGTTCATTGCAGTTTCATAACTGGATTCTGTATGTCTCATTCTATATGTGCTGCAGAGGAAGATCATGAAATCAAATGTGTGAGTCACTTCCTGGCAAATTGAGGTCCACCTTAAACAAATTCACACCATTGGCACTTCTTTCTACTCTGATTTTCTTTCACCTCCAACCAACTCTTGCAAAGCCAAACAACAATAGGGAATGGATGACAGAAACAGATTCTGGTGAAACTGGAAGCTTCTAGTCCTGAATCTGCAAGTTGGTGGTGAATTTAGTCATCAATGCTGTCATCATAAATGATCAGCAAGGAAGAAATTAAATTCTTAGATATGAGATAAAGCCGCCACTGACTTTATTGACCAAACAGTCAGTGCTACTTGAGTTACGCTTTTCTTCATTCTATAGCCTCCGAGCTGGGATCAAAGTGTAGTATCTGTTCCCCTAATCTCTAATGGTAATGATAATATTAGATGTTTACTTATAAGGAAACATTCAGCATTTAATGACCAAACAGCCAGTGATATTCTCCATTGAAGTTTATGAAATTATTCTACTATAACAATTTTTCAGGAAAACAGGTTTCACAAACCACTATTAGTCTTCCAAACTTGATGGGCATTTACTTGCTACCCTTTTGTTTGATGTAGTGTGGAAGGTCAACAGAAATTATTATTTTCTCTCTGAGTTACATGTGCTATTCATTTCAGTTGTTGCTATTGTTGAAAGTTCTCAATTGACATGGTTTATGTTATTTGGTATAGTTCTTTGGGATTCTTTAGCACCAGTTCATATAGTTCAAAGAAGGATGGTTCTCATTATGACCTACTTGACACATTTGCTTGAAGCCATTTTTAAACATTAATCTGAGGAAATGGTTGTATACAAGTGACATTTTAGATATTTCTGAACGAGTTTGACACCATGTATAATGTTCGTATGAAAGTCTCTGTCTAACAAGGCTATTTAAGATTCAAGTTAATGTTTTGGTTTTGTAGCAACTTGTGGTGTTGAGAGAAACTATCTCTAGCACAGTTCAATACCCTACCGTATTATAAGGCTTTGTTCTCTTACTAGAGTGGTAAAATTTTAGATCTATGTATATAGAAGTCCTCTTAGAATGCTTTCATATATTTTTTTCTTTCCAATTGGCTTGGATGAGCATGTAAGAATAGCACAGGTTGATTTTAAAACTGTAGTATTGCACACAATTTGAAAGTTGGGGTTTGACATGAGAAATAACAACTATTTTTTCCAGTCATTACTGTTTTTTGAGTCGATGAGTTTAATGATTAGGTTTATGTTCAGAATTGTGGCATTGAAATTTCATTTTGGTCATCAGTGAAAGCCTTAAGCACAGCCTTATAAAATTTATAATTTACTTAAGCTTTACAAATTTTATATGGACAAGATGCATGGCACAAGCATATTGTTACTAAATCATTTTGCTATCAAATAAGACCTTCATTTACTTCAAAGGGACATTATAATGAACAATTTAGCTATGATGTAATATGTTATACAGTGCAGTAGTTTTAGTGTGATTTTCAATAAACAATGCAAATTTTAAAACATTTTGTCTTATAATGTGTGCCCAACAGGATTATGGTGTTATATTCACTTTATCTATTTTTTGTTTTATTAATTATGATCTAACAAATCTTATTGAGTAGCCTTTTTTGTAATCTTTTACAGTTTTTACTTATTGAATACAGGAAAAAAATTGCATATTTTGCTTGTAGTGATTCATAATTAGAATTCTGGTTGAATATATCTTATATTTGATGTATCTAATACAAAAGATATTAACTTTATTTGGATTTATTCTTTAAATAGTAAAAGTTTGAAGTTAGTGTGCAAGCAAAAACCTGTGGAAGTATATTTTCAGATAGTCTTTAAAACTAAATGTTCCAAATTTACTAAAAGCAATAAATCTAATTTTTGGTGTCAGTAATTATCACATCAAACCCCAACTTTCACATGAAGTGCAATGTTGATTTTCTAAAAATAACTGAAAAATCAACCTAATGTAAGAATCGTAGAAAATACTCTTGGGTCTTCATTTACAAAGTCAAGTGAAGAATAAATAAAAGAAAAAAAAGGAAACGTAATATTTAGTTCATTTTCAACAGAGTTACTTCTCTTTGAATACGAGTATTTATCTAAGGGAGATAATTCTGTTTCTGTTATAAACTGTAACATTAATAACCTTCCAAAGTCTGCAGCAGTGTAAGGTTTTCCATTTTGCAATACTGGACAATCTCCTCAAAGATGAAGAATTGACTTTAAGCAACAGATGTGGTTCTACAGAAGGATGCTGGAATCAAACGTGTGAGCAAGGACGAGGTTTTAGTGAAAATGAAAACAAAAATGAAACTTATACTTAACATCAGGAAGAGGCAGTTGAAATTTTTGGGGCATGTAATGAGGAAGGAAAGCTTGGAAAATCTGATACTCACAGGAGAGATTGAGTGAAAGATGGACAGAGGAAAGCAGCACATAACATACTTGATGAGCTGATAGCAGAACAGGGTTTAGGACAATTAACAAACTTATTAAGAGCTACAAGGAGTAGGAAGATGTGGAGAGACATGGTTGCATACATTCTAAAGGGACACGACAAAAGAAGAATAAGAAGGGAGAAGGTCGTAACAGAAGAATTTTTTTTTATCTGTAAAAAAAGCATATGGTTTATTGAGTGAGCAAACCAAGATTTCAAAAAATAATTTTAATTCTTATTAAATTTGTTGCTTTCCAGTTAAGTTTGATATTCAAAAATTTAAATGCAGTATCAGTTGTTATCTTCTTAATTACTTCTTCTGCACCAGACAATTCTTCTTGTCAGAATCCTTCTTGAATATTTACAAATCTACCATTCATTCATGTATTGAATACTGCTACCATATTCAGTCTGGTTCTTCTACTATATATCTTGAGATTCTTGACAAAATTCAAACAAAGGTCTGTAATATTATCGATCCACACCTGGCATCTCAACTTCAGTTACTTTCTCACCGATGTGACGTGTCTTCTTTCTATCTTTTCTAGAAATATTTTCATGATAATTGCTCTGATGTGTTATTCTCCTTAGTACCTAGACTGCATGAATTTA